AGGGGGGGTGAGGGGTGGGCAGAGGCAGAGGAGAGAAAGGAGAGTGTGAAAGAGAGGAGGGGTGGTGTACAAGAGGGAAGGATGGAGGGGAGAGGTGGGTGACGGGGGCAAAGGGGGACAGAACAAGAGAGGGGGGGTTCGAGGGGGTTTAAGAAGATGGTCAGAGATTTTTTTCGCCCTCAGAGATTGAGGAACGAAGCTGCCATCAACTCCTCTCTGTCCTCTCTTCCATTACCGTCCCCACTTTCTCCATCACTCCTGCTCATCTCGCCATCCCATTTCCACCAGCACCTCACACCACTCCACACCAGTGTGCAGCACCATTATGCAAAAGTGACAAATTTACCACAGAAGGAAGGCGAGGGATAAATAAAGAGGAGAAAATGAGAAAGAAGGTTGAGGCCTCAGGTTTCTGCAGTGAGGGGGAATAGCCTGTAAATAGTCATCAGCAGAGAATTTGTCACTCTCCTCCCATCCTGTCTCTGCTCTACTCTCTTTATCCTCGCTCCTCCCTTCCATCGCTCCTGCTAGCCATCCCTACTGTCTTTCTCTTTACTGTCAGCAGTGACACCACCAAGTGTCTTGGGTTTCCTATACGTCTTGTCTTGCTCGGGACGTAAAAATGCATGTGGAGGAGTGATGTCTTGTATGACGATGCACACACAAGTATGATATGAAGTCAAACAAATGTCAATTCTCTGTCACATTTTCTTTCGTTCTTTTTGTGTCTCTGTTCTTTTCTACTCCTCCCTCACATTTCTCTTCTCTCCCTGCCCTCCCATCCTGTTTTTTTGTTTTTTGTTCATTTCATTCTACTTTGATCCCATTTTTCCTCTTCTTCCCTCTGGTGTAACCCTCCCTTCATCCTTTTCCCTTCCATGCCAGGCATGTTTCAGCCTGCCATGACATGGCCTGGGCTAATGTGCTCCAGTACGGCTTAATCGCTGCACAGGTCTCCAAGGCTTACTGCTACACACTGTAACAAAGTACACTATTTACCTCAGGGCCACACAGAGAATAGGCTTGCACAGAGCACAGCGAAATCCAGTGGGGAATCAGTTTCACATCACAACACATTATTGATTTCCCCCCCCCCAAAACAGACATGTTATTCATTGTTGCCTGAGCCTGGTTTCCTATCTCTCTGTCCCTTACAGAGGTGGGGTGCGAGCTCAGGATTAAGGTCATGCCCTAGAGGTAAACACTGTAATGTGTCTTATTATTCCAGCAAAACTATCAATTTCACTGGTTAATGGTTATTTTTTTCTGTTACTGTTTTCACAACTTGTCAGTTTGCACATTTTTGTTGTATATCACATAGTAACGAACAAGTTTGTTATATTTTTAATTAATCAATTAATTATTTATAAAAAAAATAGTAAAACACAATAGTACAAAACTAGACTGATGTTAAAATTACTCGTTTTGTCCAACCAACAGTCCAAAACCCAAAGATATGCAGTTTACAACGATTTAAGACAGAGAAATGCAGCAAATCCTTGCATTTGAGAAGTGGGATCCAGACAGTGTTTGACATGCTTAGTTGGTTGACATTTGCTTATTAAATTACATAAAAAATGGATTATCAGTATTGTTGACAGTTTTCGCTTGTTCAGGACGACCAATCAATTCAGTGACTAATTGAATCATCAGTATGTGAAGAGCTGATCTTGGGGAAGGCGCTTTAATATCATTTAGCCCTGATCTTTGGGAACCTTCCCAGTACATTCACTGTCTCAGATGGTGTAAAAAACTGTCAGTCACAACCATTTATCTCCACGGCTCTGGTTTGATTTGAGGGTTTCCGCTCTCTCTCGTGGGTTTTAGAAAATTATTTTTCTTTTTTGTATTTTTAAAAACATGCTGTTTGTAGTTCATTTAAATTTTCTCTAAACATTTTGAACATTTGTTGAATGCACATAAATGTCCTTGAAGGTCCCTCATCACTTTCTTCCTCTCTGCTCATGGTCCAGCTGAGGCGCGTAACTTTGCCGCAACCCTTTACTCTTCATACACACACACACACTAAACACACACACTTAACAGACGGCACAGAACACGTGGAGTTGACAGCTGGTAACTGCAGGGCCCAGCAGGTGCAGGGTGAGTGTGTGTGTGTGTGTGTGTGTGTGTGGTTGGCCCCAGAG